TTGAACCTATATGGGATACGATATGCATAGTAAAGACTAACTTTATTTATTCATATTGGATTCAATTTCAAGGGTAATAGTGATATATATATATATATATATGATTTTTTGAATAAATCCAAAACAAGCAAATTTTACTAGGTAGTATCATGGTGGTAAACTACCAATCCAATCGTAAAGATCAAATGTAACATAAAAATTTAACCAATCCGATTGCAAACGTAAAAAATTCAGATAGTTTAGAATTTTACTATGATAACTGGCACAAAAATGTCTATACATCTTCCAGATCAGATGATCTGTGGGACAGAGATATTACTGACGTGAAGATTTTTCGAGTCAAGTTTTATTGAGTTAAAAAGACTACGCATACAATGTCAAGCCATCATAAGAAAAGGCCACGAAACGAAATGTCTTTCTTGGCTGAAAAAGACCTCGAAATTGAAAATTCGAAAAAACAACACAAGAAAACCCTAAAGAACAGTAAAGATCCAGAGGAACCTAAAGAACCCAATGAACAATTATCAGAACAACCACTACCCGAAAAACCATCGGAGCGGGAAATCTCAAACCAATTAATCCAGTCTCATTCTTCAAAACCAAACAACAGCAACACGAATGTATTTCTAGTACCGCAAGCACCGCGTCTGCCCAAAACACTAGCCGAAAAAGAGACCACGCGACGACTCATTGTGATATTAGAGCAAGCATGTCTAGAAACATATAAATCCCATAAAAGTAAAAATTACGAATTATTGAATTGTGATGAGCACGTTACGGTGTTGCAGAAAATGGGTAGAACGTATTCTGACGCTAGACCGGATATCACACATCAGGTAATTGAAAATAATTCCGCATTTTTTCTTTCGTTATCGTAATTTTTCTAATTCAATTGTTTTTGATCCAGTGTCTAATGCAATTGTTGGATAGCCCACTAAACAAAGCCGGACTGTTGCAGGTTTATATTCATACCGCGAGGAATGCATTAATAGAAGTAAATCCTCATGTGAGAATACCGAGAACTTTTAAACGATTTTGTGGATTAATGGGTGAATATCCGCATGATCAATATTTGACTCGATTCTTTCAATAGCTCATAATTTCTGTTCTTATCTGTTGTAGTGCAATTACTACATAAACTCAGTATTAGTTCAACAAAAGGCAGCGAGAAACTCCTACGAGTCATAAAAAACCCTGTCACACAATATCTGCCAACAAATTGTCACAAAATAAGTAAGTCTCCAACAGAATTCATTCAATCACATCAAAGTAAAATGAATAGATCAATAAACTAAATAATTTCAATAACAGCGCTTTCATACGATGCAAAAACGGTACGTCTTAGGGATTATTTACCCACCATACCATCCGACTACTCGATCTGTGTCGCGATTGGCGCAATGCCTCACGGTGAAGACAATTTCGCAGACAGTTGGGTGGATGAAAAAATTAGCATATCTGAGTACGCGTTGTCTGCTGCGGTGGCCTGTTCTAAATTTTGTTGTGCTTTAGAGGATTTTTGGGATGTTTTATGATAAAAAAAATATTAAATGGAGGTCTTAAACGATATTAGCGAATGTCGCATGTTTGATATATTTGAAACGTTGACAACAAACTTTGGATGCTATTAAAAGATGAAATTTATGAAAATTGGTTTACAAATATTATATATAATATACAATGTGTTAAAAATATACAATATATTATACGAGATGCGACCTTTTATTATTTACAAGACCTGCAACGCTTTCGATTGATTTGTGCAAATGAAGAGAATAATTATCCAGAAATCCAGATCCAAGAAGTTCCACATCCTGCACCGATTTTACTTATTATTCCATCTATATTAACAAATTTCGGACTGAAAACATTGATTTTATCTCCTGATCCACAATTACCATGCTCATTCCATCCCCAGGTAAAGCACTGACCTGTTACCGTGATGGCGAGTGAATGCTCTGAGCCACACGTAACAGCGGCAATAATATGACGGTGGTCATCATCAGGGAACGTGACTAACTTAGGGATATAACAAAGTGGAACCTGTTGACTAATAAAACCTCTATCTTCACTTTCTGCTCTTTGAATAATTCCCAGTTGACCATGATCATTTCTTCCCCAAATTGCTACTTGACCATCATCGCTACGTGCAGTTGTGATGCTCCAACCACACGATATTTCCACTACTTTACCGGGAAACACTGACACTTTTCTAGGTTGTTCAGCATGCGCCATATCATGCGGAGACGCATATCCAAGCTGACCGTATTTATTATTGCCAAATGTGTAAATGTCACCTGTCGCGGAAAGAAAAACAGTATGATTCTGTCCACAAGCAATATCTACCATGAAAAGCGACGAATCCTTATCAATCACAATCCGTATAGGCGAAAAATATTGGACATTTTTCCCAGCTTTCGATTTTTCCTTATACTCATTGGCAGATTCATTAATAATTGTGCCTAGTTGACCATACCGATTGCTTCCCCAACCAAAACACGCACCGTCAGTAGTCAACGCGACTGAATGTCTCAAACCACACGCGACCTTACAAACATTTACAAGTCCTTCAACTCGTAGGGTTTTACCATTCAAAGCTAGATTTGAGGGTCCACACCCCAACTCACCAAAACTACCTTTACCAAACGCGTATACATCACCTCTTTCAGTTGATATAATCGTATGTGTCCAACCACACGCGACACTTTTGATCGCGCCCATATTTTGTGCATTCATGTTCGTTTCTTCATTAGGCAAAACTTTTTCAAAGGCAATTAAGTTGGGAATGTTACTTGGTAACCCGCATTGACAGTCCGTGTTCAGTCCACTCATCCATAACTCGCCTTTATTGGTGATAACAGCGGAATGGTTGCCACCACCTGTTATCATTTGCGGCGAGTCAATAAAGGGATTAATGTGCTCAGAAAATGAACATGGGGAAGGAAAGAGCATGTCATCTTTATTTCCCACACCTA